AGTTGAGCGTTTGTGATGAAAGAAAAGTGTAAAAAATATATAACTTAATCTTTATTAATTATCTGCTCAGAACATTAAAATTTAAAACTTTCTTACACATATTCGAGGTGTAAATTATAAAAAATCTCGAATTTTTACAACTTCGTTGCATATTTCTTTCAATTGAAAGTTGTATTTGCATGTTTTTATTTTTTCTATGTAAACGAAAGAGCTTTTCGACCTTTGGTACACACTGTAAGCAACCACCTAAACACAATGAGGATTAGCTGTGAGTTTTCTTTACACTTTTTCAATAATAACCATTTGGGTATTCACAGTTTTGACATAACTTCACACTAATTTTGATGCATTAATACGCCAAAGCTTTGCTATTCGCCTAATCTTCATTGAAATGTTAGCAGATTATATTACAGAAACTCAAATTTAATATGTTGTCTTTAATTTTAAAATCGCAAATTGAATAACTTTCTTTTCATAAAGTAATAAGCTAACACTTCTCGTGATGTGTTATGTTTTTTTACAGCTATCGTTGCTCATTCCTCTCCACACATGTGTCTTCATAATCTAAGACAATTTATGATCGTTCAAACAAACTGTCGAGCGAGCAAATAGAATTTTGATAAATTGACCGACAGTAAAACTGTGCTTAACGACTTAACTGTTACCTTTTTGAGATTCTGTTCCAACTTCTGTGTTTGAATGAAACCAAAAAAAAAATCATTGATTTATAAAAATCTTGGTACTTTTTTTTCATATTTCATGATTGGACAAAATGTCGCATAGCATTGCTCAATAGAAATGATTGATCGTATACTCACGTAATCTCATGACAAGAGTAGTAAAAAAGATCAAGGAAAATTCAATTTTTCTTCCTAAAGTGTAAGCTTCTCAACCCCAAGTTCGCGTTATTTGACAAAAAGTATAATCTCACCTCGAATGGCATGATTAAGAAAAAAAAAAAAAAAAAGTATTTGAGACCTATGGAGCTTAAAAAATTGCAAGCTCCCTTGTCATTCGAGTGCAAAAGTTCCAGAATAACGCGCCTAGTCGTTAAGCCGAGTGGATATTGGATAGGCATCCTCTCTCTTTTTTCCCCACTTTATTCATCCGGCGATAGAGAATCGATGAATAAGTATACGTTCCCGAGCGATTTAAGAAATTTTTTTGCCGCACGCGTAAGCGAGTACATTCACACGTATCGGGCAAAAAAATTTTTGATCGCGAGACGCCCGAGGTCATGGCGCCGCTCGATAATTGTTAAGCTCCTTTCTTTGGCGCCACCCGAGTCGCCTGTGAATTGGATCTCGGGCGCGGAGGGACCACTTTCTTACCATCTTGTATGGGTAAGTGCCTTTCGAAAGTGTCGTGACGTTACGCGCTCGGTTGGAGGACGGAAGCATGGAAGAAGAAAAAACGTTACACGTAGAAGCATGTGTTAAAACAAAAAAAGGTGGGAGGAGTGCAAAGTTTTGTAAGCTATTGTGATGTCACGCGGTGCCGTGTCCATGTGTTTTCGGCTGCATTTACTGCTTCATTGTAGTTACAAGCTTTCGTACTTTTTTTATAGTCTGAGGTCGCGAATTTTTTTTTTTTTTTTTTTTTCAAGGAATTGACTGTTACAAAAATTCAATGGGGTGTACAGAGAAGAAAATCGTGCTGTTAAGATTTTTATGCCTTTTTCGGGTGTATCTTGAAGAAAACAAATGTTCTTACTTCGGGTATACATTTTTTTTTTAATTTTAGGCTCATCCTTTCATAGCGACTATAAGTCTTACTTTTCGCTGTAACAAGATTTTTAAAACTCATCGAAGGTCTCAACGTTGTAAAATTTATAAGACTACCAAAAGGGTTACTGTATCATACATAAGTACGTATTTTGGTTAGATTTTAATTTACGTACATCCAGCATCGGCGAGAAAAATTTGATGTGAGGCATTTCACATCCTTAAAAAGATCCAAATAAAGACAAGATTATGATCATAAAGGGGTAATCGAAACGATAAACACTTCAAAAGGAAAGGAAAAAAAATAAAAATTTTTCAGCATTGAAGCTCTTTATGGTCACTTATCTCATCAGGATCCTCAATTAAGAGAACTGAATTCCACGTAACTGCTTCCTTACTATCAACAAGTTAGCATTAAAAGGTAACTCCGGTTCTTGAAAATTGATCGATGTAATATCGATGCAATCGATTAGAGTATACGTTGAAAAATTGCTAAGTGAGAATTATTTATGATTGCGAAATCTTATTTTAACTTTCAAGAATAAATGCAAGACGATCAATATTAAATTGGTATTTATTTTATTACGACTTAAACTGATTTACATAAACAAAGATTTATTTGATCCCCAATAATTGATGATAATTATATTTGTGTATTATAGAAAAACAGGACCTCAACCTATTGATGCTTGAAATTTTTAGAACTATACTTTTTTTTCTGGAACTTTAAAACTTTTTTGTAGATTGCTCTTCCCTAATCCGCATAAGCTTTTCTATAAACTCTTTATTTTTTCAATATCGTAAAACGTTGGGTAAAAAATCTCTTTGATTTCAAAAATTCACTTTTTTAATTCTTATTCTTAGGTTCTGCAACGTAAGGGTTGATGTTGATATACCCATGTGGTATTTGTATATATAGTAGAGTAATAATTGTTCTTGAAGATCTTCCAGGTATGCATTTGATCTGAAAGTACAATACCAGTGACCTATCAGATATTGAATTGGCAAAAAAACCAAGAGAAAAAAAAAACTCACTCCTTGGTGAATCACTTATATGCAATGTAAATTAAATGCCTCTTGGAATGATTAACGTGACTCTCTGATGAAGTACTTCATAACTTTTATCTTACCAATCTTTTCTTACCAAATTGTTGCTAGGGCGTGAATAAACATGTATTGCAAATTGAAGAAAATAGTTGCACCTATTATAGAGACATGGATTTCTGAATTTCGAAAATACATCAGGCAAAAACTTTATTTTTTATTTTTTGTAAACTACGAATTCAGATTATTTTTTGTAAATTTTTATAATTCAATAAATTTAATTAATTTTTTTTAAAGTTGGGTTGACTTTTTTTGTTGTAAAATTCAAAAATTGCAGATCATTCAATAAAAAGTGTTTATGAAATCAAATATACCTACAATACTCTCGACACGAAAGTCTGTGACAATTTTTTTTCAAATTCTATTTTTGATTCTACAATTTAAATTTAATCTTTCAGTAGTCTCACATAATCACTACTATACCGTGTGATTGAACCTTAGCCAATCAAATGGACGAGAACAAGCGGCCTTCCTATGGACTTTTTAATTCAGGATACAGCCAATTCCTCCTCGGTGTTCGATTTATATAATTTTCTACTTTTGTTTAAAAACACAAACTAGAAAGTGCTGGCTCACATCGCTCCAAGGCCTCTAATTTTTGATGTTCTAACGCGAAGTACTATTTGGAAATCCAATAGCCGAAGAAATCAATAATTGTGTATATATATATCCCCTCGGTAATTATGATGCAATCCCAGTACACGAGTACAGGGTGCAAAGTTTGTATTTTAATAAAATTGACAAATATATGCAACGGCAAATTGTTTCAATTTTCGTTTTTATTTAACCACCATTATTGCAACAGCTATGCCATCTTTCAAATGAAAAAAAAAAAAAAAAAAAAAAAAACGGAAACTAGAAATTTACTTCAGTTTTCATGTAGGTACACTATCACGTATTCAAATGAAAAATATGTACGAGACAATAAACGTTCAGCTAACGATAGAAAATTCCCTTTTATTGTTTCCCTAATGTTGACATTCATCTCGATTTACGACAACATTCATTCCACCATTCAATTGGAATACGTATTTTTTTTTTTTTTTTTTTTTACATTTTGGATTACAAGATTGTTGAGCAATGAGGGGGTACCTGATCGAAGGTGCAAAATAGTTTGTTTGGTTGGATTTAAATGTAAAAATCCATGTTCACCAAGAATGAGCAAAACCAAATTAACATTTCTTGAAAACACACCAAAAAAATTAAATCTGAGCTATATATATGGATGAATTGCGTCAGTAACACGCGTACAGCGATCGGTGCATGTGAGATCGATCGGCGAAGGAGGATACGATCACGTGAGCGCGTAAAGACGGGGGAAAAAAAAAAAAAACCCAATTAAAGCCCTCTGCGTATAGAGAGTATACATGGCCAAAGTAAAGGGATACTCGGGCAGCGTTGGGCGTGTACGGCGTATAAATTCGAGAGGACGCGCTGCTCGTCCGCGGGTCCTTCGAGGCGATCGGGATATCGAGAGCAGAGGGAACAAAAAGATCGTCAGGAGCCACGGGGAAAGACAAAGAAAGAGGTAGCTATGGGGAGGGAGGTACGCGTGCGTAAACGGAGGAAAAAGAAAAGAGATATACAAGTGAACGGAATTCGGTTGTCCTTCGGCGGATGAACTTGGTGGGCGCTTTGGTTCCTGGTTGCGGCTATTGGCTGGTGGCGAGACGATACCGATTTTGTTTGCTTTTGCATTGGACCCACCCAGGTATATAAGCCAAATGCTCAGCTGAACGGCATCGCATTTACCACACGGTTCTTTGATTGTGTACTGTACTCCCGCAGCGTTTTGATCCACCCAACGAGATGCACAAGTCCCTCGTAAGTATACATATACACCTTTATTTTTTCAACTCTTGGTTTTTGCAAGTTTACTTGTGTTACGCGCTTTCCTTTTTTGGTTTGGGGAATACAATCGGTTTCATGAAGATTGCCGGTTTCATTTCCTCATGTCTCGAATTGATCTACTCGAGGTTTCATAGGGTTACCTCGATCACGTAGTTTATTTAGAGTGGGTGGTTTGGGAATTTGAAAAAATCTATAGCTTCGTTTGATTTGCTGCATTTGTAATATATACCGTGACAAAATATTAATTAATATTAACTTTAATCAATTATTACGTATTGCTAATCTGCCTATTTTGTAAGATCGGTATGGAGCCGATGAAAGATGAGTGTGGTAATTGTACCGTCATCTGATTTATAATACACGAGGATTCTTGTCTCTTAAGATAAATTAAAAGTTAGAAGACTCGTGCGTATACTAGGAAAGAAACGCATCTTTATAGTCTAGCAAACAACGAAAAACTGAAAATCGTTAAAAATTGCCCAACTCACGATTTTCTCAAACTTTTCGACGTTTTCAAAGAATTTGTTATTAATTCTTTTGAAAAAAGGTGTCGTTGATTTTTTCATCCGAAAAGAAGTTATTAAATGTAAAGGCACCAAGGGTGATTGACGTCCGCGAGCAAAATAATTTAAGAGATGTAATGATAGGGAGTACCCTTTACTTATAGCTCTACCAAAGCATTTCATCATTAAAGATTTATCTGTTTTGGAGGAATCACAAACCATACTCCAAGAAAATTTTTACCATTTGAGGAGGTTCGGGAGTAATAATAAAATGCAGAGATGACAATGATATCGAGTTTTCCTGATAGTATAGAATACGTAGAATTTATATGAATTTTTTAAATATTTGTTATAGGTCATTTTAAAAATAATTATAAAAAAGAAAATCATAGGCTCTTATGGGACTCTCATTTTTGGAAAATGAGATCGAAAAGATATTGAACAAAAAGCCTACCTACGAATTAATTATTGTTAAATAATTCAGTGAGAACATTTTTGAGGCATGTTATAGTGCATTTAAAATAATCCCAACGCCATACGTAAGTAAAATATTGAGTTGGGTGCATGAGGGGGTACGCGATAAAGGGGGCCAAGCTGCGCGGGCACGGGGGATTTCCCCTTCCTCGCCCCTTTGAATGACACTCCCGAACCTCGGTTGGACGTGATTCTTTAATATTCAAATTCGAACAAAAAAAAAGTTTTTACATATACTTATATAGACTAGAGTTAAATCAAATAAAAACATTAAATATTAAGGTAAAAGTACCAGTACTCGAACACTTTTTTCGGAAAGTCTTTGTTTTCTCAATTCTTAACGAATTTACTGAATTGCATAATAACAAAACAGTCATTCCACCAGTAAGTTAATTTTTTTCCTTATAAATAGAAAACATTAAACCCTTTTCTAGGTAAGTGTATACAATTAATAAATTAATTTATAAGTTTTTTTTACCAACGACCCAGTAGATAAACATCATGTTCAGGTATTGGTACTGATAGGCATTTTTGACTCAGTACTCAAACATCCCATGTTAATTAAATGGGAGAAAAGTTATTTTAGCTAATTTTTACTGATTTCTATTTTTATTATGTATTGCAAATAACCAAATCGAACAATTTCTTTCTAATTTCATTGGTAACATATTATGAAAACTATAGCGACTGGCTTGACATACTATTATTATTGATTAACAGTGATTTCAATCGTTTTTATGGGTTCGAGTACTGGGCATAGGTAAAACCTAATGGTACCAGTACCTGAACAGTCTCACAAGCCACCTCATACAAGTTGCACGAATAAATAATTTTTTTCTCGTTAAGTATAAAGACTTATTAAAGTACAAATTTTGTTTTATCTAAAGAACGATCAAAGGATATCAGAAACAATTTTTTTTCATACACTTGGTACTGGTACTTTAACCTTAGTTCAAGACTTTGATTGCTGTCAAACTATACCGATAGTGTAAATGAATACGTTGAAAAAAAAACCGATGGACTGAAAAAATAAGCCTCAGTCTGCAACGAAAGCAAGTGAATAACCATCGATTCGTCCCACAGGTGCTTCTACCCTTCCTGGTCGCTTCGGCGCTGGCGGGCGGAATAATCGCCCACGTCGTCCAGCCCCTGCCCCAGTACAACCTGGAACAAAACACGGCAACTGGCGAGTACGGCTACAGCTACTCGGACGGACCCTCCGCCAAGACCGAGTTCCGGGCCCTCGACGGCACGACCACCGGCGCCTACAGCTACATCGACGCCCACGGCCTCCTCCAGACCGTCAACTACGTCGCCGACGAGTTTGGCTTCCGCGCCGCCGGCACCAACATCCCCTCGGCAGCCCCCGCTCTGCCCCTCGACCTCCCCGAGGTAGCCGCCGCCAAAGCCGCCCACCTGGCCGAGCACTCCCGCGCCACCCTCGCCGCCCTCAGCCACCAGCGCCGCAAACGCGGCATCCTCGCCACCCCCATCACCCTGGCCCAGGCTACGGTGGTGCCGTTGTCCAGCTCCAGCCAGAGCCGCGTCCAGATCCACAAGAGCGCCCACCTCGTGGCCCATCACCCCGTCGCGGTGGTCCCCACCCACACCTACCTGCTGCGCAAGAAACGCGGCCTCGCGTACCTCGCTGCCCCCCTGATCGAGCACCTGCCCGTGGCCACCTCCAGGCAGAATCGCTTCCAGATCCACAAGAGCGCCAAGCTCGTCCAGGAGTACCACCTGCCCGTGTACGCCGCCCCGGTGCCCATCGCCGCCCCCGTGGCCCCGTTGATCGAGCACCTGCCCGTGGCCACCTCCAGGCAGAACCACTTCCAGATCCACAAGGGCGCCAAGCTCATCCAGGAGTACCACCACCAGCCCATCTACGCCGTCGCCCCTGCCTACCTACCGGCCGCTCCCGCCAAGGAGTACCTGCCGAGCGCCCCCGCGGCCACTCCCATCGTGGAGGCTTCCGTAGCCGATGAAGCCGTCAAGGTGGAGAGCGCCTGAAGCCACCAAGGGACCGGCTGGGTGCTTGCGAGTCGAGCCGTGATGGGGGGGGGGGCAGGAGTGTTGACAAGCGTTTGAAAAAAGAATGAAATAAAAAGGGTTGAATCGAGCCATCGTCAAATGTGGCTCTACTCTGTTTGGCATTGATCGGTTAAAGAATTTTACCTTTTTTTTTCTAGTGTTAAAAATTGTACATGGTTGAATAATTTGACGAGGAGCCAAATTGATTCTTTGCCGAACGCTTGTTAACATTGCTGCGGTTCAATGTTTCGTTGAAGCATTACAGTGCAATAATCGTCCATTAGTTGTTTGGAGGTATTTTTTGTAACGTAACAAAAAAGGCTGCGGCGGATCGATCTTTTTTTTTCTTTTTTTTTTTTAATTAAGTTGAATTGTCGTGTCTGAAACTGAGTGTTTCCGCTCCGCCGTTGTCATTTTTGTTTCATCTGAAGATAAAAAAGCGAGTCGTTGGGGGGTGGTTTCCACTATTTTTTTTTCTTTTGTATTAATATGTAGAAGGAAATGATTGGAAAACTAACAATGTGTGATAAACGAATAAAAAAAAAAAAAAACTTTTTTCCACCTACATTTGCTTCTTTGTTTTCTGTTTTAATCATCCCGTTGGAGAATGCGCCTTTCGCTACGTCGTTTGTCGGCGGTAACGTGATGCTGCCCTGCCACATGTTCTACATTTAAGACCTTTACGATTTGACGAGTAATGAAATTTTGATTGCGTTCCTGCTTCGTTCGGAGTATACAGTGGTGCTTACTTTTGCCAAAATATAAACTCAGCACTTTAGTAGTTTTCATTCGAAATGTCTCAATGTGAATTAATTAAAACATATACATCGTGTGAAAACGAAGAGAGCAATTCTTTGATTTGGATTTCGCTGGTAAGGAATTTTTCATCGAAACAAATAAAAGTTTTTATTAGAGGAGCGTCATAAATGTACAACTTACAACTATATGTGATTATCTTCTAATATTAAATTATGCTGGAATTTCACATACATCTTTTGGTTCTGAATACTGTACAATACCCACATTGCGCGTTAAATAGTATGATAGATCTAATAAGGTGGCCACTAAAAAATGACAAATTACGTATGTTTTTACAACTCTATAACAGGAATGTGCACGAGACTCCGAGGGACTCCTTGTAATTACCCTGGTTGCATGCGCACCAAGTGCAAAGATAATTTTTCTTACTTAGGGCACAACAAACGTCCAAAAAGTAACAATAAAATTTAAAAAGTTGCGAAAACAAGCTTTGTTTACTGAAATTAAAAAAAAAAGACAAAATAAATTTTAGTGTCCAGTCAGCTATATATAAATACAAGTAAACTCTTGAAGCACCTTGGTTCGAATGATAACAAAAAAAGAAAATGTTTACTGAAACTTTTTAAAGAAAAATAAATTTCAAAACCAACCTTTTGAAATACTATGTAATCTGGGACTGTTTAAATTATGATAATTCTGTTTGTAAAAATATTAACTATTTATAAATAATTTTCTTACTTCGAGCGTTTTTTTACCTTTGGACGTTTACTGCTCCCTCAGTAGGGAAGATTACACGTGGTGTCCATTCAATCAGGGCAAGCACAAAGAGTCCCTTGGGCCTCGTGTTTGCCCTAGAGACATGGGCCACCAGGTACGAAAATGATCATTCCATTTCTTAGATCGATACATGATAGTTTTTTATCACAATTCAAAACCTGAAAAAATAAGATGAATAACAAACAGAAAATTTTTCCGAAAAAGAGATAATCATAATTTTCCAAAATTTTTTTCTGAAATAGATGTACGCTTTTTTGTCAAATTTTTTAACACATAGATTTTTTTTACACATACATTTCGTAAAACGTAGTCTTTTATACGTTCATAGAATAGGTTTTTATAAACTATAGAAAAAAATAAAAACTCCAAAGTTGGCTTTGTTTCACAATGTTTTATTATTCGCAGACAGCTGTTTCGGCAGTTACACTGAAATTCAGATTACACTGAATGGTCTATGTACATCAGTTCGCTGAAGTCAAGTATAAGTATTACAAATGTAGTTGTCGCTCAACGGTATGATATGTATGCGCCTGTGTATGAGTACCTTATGAGATACTATGTATTACATTTTCTATTATTGCAGATAAAGTAAAATTAATTTGATCGTTCGTTATGAATTTATTATGTTTTTTTGCTAATTCTATTTCTATTGTCTCAAACAGATTCAATTTAAAACTTTTAGGTAAACTGTGTAGTAACTTTATATTATTTTCATCTAGGAAATGCGCATTAGAATTACAATGTTCACTAAAACCCGTCGTATTGCGATCATTATAAATAGACTTTTTATGCTCCTTTATACGTTCGGAAAGGGCACGTCCTGTCTGTCCAATATATATGGCATCGCATTCGGAACAATTAATCTGATAAACACCACATTTCTGTAAAATACCAACTTTTTCCTTATTATTACATAAAATGGATTTCAAGTTACGTTTATTGACCATGATTGTATTTACATTTTGTTTTTTTAAGAAATTACTTATTTTATCGGATACTATGGGAACATAATTCAACATATTAAATTTTTTGGTTTGTTTTGCGACTGCGTAAAAATATTTTGAAATAAGTCTATTGTTTATTTTAAAAATTAGATTATCTATGAGGTTTTCATTGTAACCATTATTAATTGCTAAACATTTTAATAGATTGATTTCCTTTTCGTAATTAGATTTCGTTAACGGTACTGTTAATAATCTATGTACAAAAGAGTAAAATGCGCTCATTTTTATATTGATGGACTGCTTTGAATCGTACGGTACTAACGTATCTGTGAAAGTTGGTTTTCTATAAATTTCATACAACAACTCACCGTCTTTTCGTGTTATTTTTAGATCCAGAAAATTTAAACTATTGTCATTTTCAGCTTCTGCTGTAAATTTTATACCC